TCAGGATTGGATGGAAGCCACAGTCGAAACAATGGAGTCTATTTGTGGTATAGGCCAAGAAGGTGCAAGAGAATCACGATTGGATAGAAGCCACAGTCGAAACCATGGAGTCTACACCACAAATATTGTGACCCCTGCAAATCTTGTAATACCCTTTCTCACCCCATGTCTCACCCCAGGAGTTCTTGATGATCCAGTAGGCCTTGTCCTTGAGCCTGATAGGTGCATACCCAGCTGAGCCATAGCCTACTATCAGAACCCCGTGGTCCAGATTCCTCTTGCTACAAATGTATGGGCACGAAACCCCACCTATGTATGTTTGCATGAAGACTGCATTGATACCCACTGCATAAAAAGAAGGCATGAATTCAAGTGTGAGAGGAGCATGAATTCAAGTTCTGAGATCAACACTCAGAATGATGTGCTAGACGTTTAATTTCTTGTTGTCAGCTATCTGAGAATGTATGTTGGGAATGTATAATTTTTTATGTATGGAATGTTGGACTAGAAAGAACAGCGAGATTTGGTTTTTTTTGTTTTTTGGGTAAAATAGTGAGATTTATTTTTAAAATAAAATAAATTATTAACAAAGGGATGTTGTTTTAGAATGAAAAGAGAAAATGTATTTAATATAACCTAACTAAACTTGCCAGCATGGAATGTCAGGTTAGAAGGGAAAGGCAAGAAGTATTCCTATAGATTGTATTACAACTCAGAATATAAAATAAAACCCTATACATAGAGATTGGAAACAGAAAAATCCTATTCATTCATTTAGCTGCAATTGCTCTGTGTATGTGTGGCATGTGTGGGGGTCCCCGGGGGATTGGGGGGGTAGGGGGAAGGGGGGGGAGAGAGAGAGAAGCTCGGGTTATGGTGCAGTTACCTGAGAGCGGCCCATTCTTGACAAGATTTGCAGCCATTTGGTCCTCGTCTATTGAGACAACACTGAAGTTGGAGACCTTAGCAGCAATCTTGCTCTTGTCAAACTTGCAGGTGCCACGGTCTGTTCCAGTATATGGGTAGTCTTGCTCTCTCTCCACTCCACCAGCCTTAAGGAGGTACTCGTAGGCGGTCGTCATCAGCCCGCCATTGCAACCTGAATCGCAAGCTCCAGGGTTCGATGGATCACACTGCATCCATCAAACAATTATTGAATTGTCTACAGTAAAATGACAGTATCATACAAAAGAAAAAGGTCCCTGGAAGGGTCTGCTATCCTCATGCGACACAAGTGACCACAGCTCGTTCTTCCAGTGACTGGGTTTGGTAAATAGTAGCAGGAGACAGGAAAAGAATATGAAAAATTCCTGCATGTTCCTTTTGGGACAAATGCAGCTCAAACTATCACCAGTTTTTTATTAATGTATCACCAGTTTCTAATTTATAAGCAGGGAACAGGCATTAACACTGTATATGGCTTCTTACAAGGAATTGAAAAGAATATGCACATAATCTCAAGAAAGTTCTTATCTCCAAATCTCAATTGGGTAGTGCATAGGGTTTGTCTTTCTCACACAATTCACCTTTCTTCAAGTGTTGACATAAGATTTAGACATGATGACACAAAGGATTGACACCTCAGGGTTAAAACCAGGCATCATTCAATACGCAAACACTAACAACATAATCTGAACCACTGCCAAGTCGAAAATAGACACGTTGAATTCCAAGATGAAGAAATGCAAGCACCTACGGCAATATGTTGCTATGAGATAGTGGAATGTAAGTCTCTAACATGGATCTAGGTCAAAATATCATCATAATACTTGTCAAGGAATATATATGAGAAGTCAGAATGCATTCTGTTAAGCTGCAAGTAGTTGTATTTGAATGTGTGCAATGTTTAAAGAGCAATCCAAGATAATAAAGCGAGACAAAACAAAAGAAAAAAGAAGAACGAGACACCATGAGCTTGATACTCTAAGGAGAGTAAAAGGGATGAAAATGGGGAAGGGGGGAAGTCGCAAACCTCATGATCACAGTCAACAAGTTGCTGCTCGCTGAGGCTGACAAGCTCCCTTGTAGCTAAGAAATGAGCTCCTTCCAGTGCTCCTGTGGTACTGAACGACCAGCATGAACCGCAAGAACCCTATCCAACAATTCAAGGCATCAGATAATCAAATTCAAAGAATAATAGCATGAGAATAAGAATAACAAAATTGTAATCAAAACATAAATAAAAAAGACAGTAAAGTAGAAGACATGAAAGAGTAAAAGGAGATAGAAACTAGAAAATAGAATGTGCTATAAAATCATAACCCCGCCCCAGCAACTAAAACATTAGATAATGAGCAACATAAACATATTTGGAGAAGATATAAGACAGTTAAATCAATGAAATGCAAAACAAAATCAATAACCCACCGAACAACTTAATAAAGACAACTTCCAAACAAAAAAAACAGGACAATCGACAGGAAACTATAGGAAGCAGTGGACGAAATCAGGAAGCAAAGCTCCAACCAACTAATCAGAAACCCACCCAGAATTGTGAGACTCCAATAAATCCAAATCAGAGTAAAAGATATAAAACTAAAAAACAAATATTTTGATATAAATAGAATAAAAACTCATCAAACACGAACGATAAAACCTCCTTATAAATCCAGCCAGACATATCCAATTTATAAAAACTCATAAACAAGAAAAATAAAACCTCCTTATAAATCCACCCGACATATCCCAAGTCAAAGGGCTTTCGCTTTTTTATTTTCGAGGCAACAACAGAGAAACCAAGAACCAATCTCAAAAAAAAAACATTATTCTAATAGCTTGATATATTCTTTTTTTCCAGACAAACTATAAAATAGCCATATTTCACCGTGACAAACAAATTAATAATAACAATTTCAAAACAAACAAAAAGGCATCAAAAGAAATCTATAGGAACCAGTGGACAATCAGAAAGCATAGCTCCAACCGACTAATCAAAAAACAACCCGGCATTGTAAGACCCCAAGAATCTAAATGGGATTTAAAGATAAAGAATTAAAACCAAATATTTTGACATAAATTGAACAAAAACTCATCAAACTTCAGCCAGACATCGCAAGTCAAAACGCTTTTGCTTTCTTAATTTCAAGCCAGCAACAAAGAAACCGATCTCAATAAAGGTTTTTTTCTTATAAATAGCTCAATTTTTTTTTTTTCTTTTATGAGTGACATCAATATCATCACAAAGCAGCCCAAAAATTCACGAAAGGAAGCAAACCCATTGACAAAATTTCCTAGACAAAGTCAAAATAGCCATATCTCACCCCACCATCATAATCATAGCCTTTTCCCAATTAATTGGGTTATCTCAACCCACCAAACAACTTAATTATGATAACTAAAAGAAAAAGAAAAGGAAACCGCAAATCAAACGGAATATATAGGAAGCAGTGCATGAAACAGAAAGCAAAGCTCTAACCAACTGGTCAGAAAACAACCAAGCATTGTAAGACTCCAAAAATCCAAATAGGAATAAAAGATTAAAAAAAAAAAACTAAAAACGAAATATTTCGATATAAATTCAATAATAACTCATCAAACAATATAAAACCTCCCTATATATTCAGCCAAACATATCCCAAGTCAAAACGATGTTTTTTATTTTTAATCCAACAACAAAGAAACCAATCTCAATAGATTTATTTCTCATAAATAGCACATTAGGTTCTTTTCGTTTAGGGGTGAGCTCAACCTCATCACAAAACAACCAAAAAAATCACCAAACGCAGCAATCCCACAGGTATTCATATTAAAAGTAGACCAGCAATAAATTTGACCAAAAATCGTAGACAAACTCAAATTATCCATATATCAACCCAAGCACATGAAGACAAAAGCTAGCAATTAAACCAACAACAATCAATATGAAAAAAAAAAAAAAGGCAGCAAATAGAACTTGAAAAAACAAACCTACCATCTCAAATTTGCCATATTCCAATGCAAAAACATGAAAACAACAACAGAAAAGAAAAGCCATCGAACCAATAATTATATGACACACTGAACAATCATCAAGAGGAATCAAACACAAGTTATATATAGATATATAAATAGATGGAGAGAGGGAGAGAGGGAGAGGGAGAGATACCTGATTCTTAATAGGAGTAACAGCACCATGATCACGCCAATCAAAATCCGCAGGTAAATCATTAGTGGGCAAGATCGGAGCTTCAGGAAGGTTCGACTTCAGGAAATCAAGCTTCCCCTTGAGCCCTAGATATCTCTCCTGAAACTCCTCCTCTGTGAGATCAGAGAACTGGGTAACTCCATGAACAGCAGTAGGGTCCAAGATCTGGTGTCTTCTTGCCCTAGCCATGTTCGCCTTGAACACAGAGAACCTGTAATTGTGCTCAGCTTCATTAGAATACTCCTTTCCAAACTTTCTCTTGAAGAGAGAGAAGTGTCCCTCTGCACCGAGAAGAGAGTTGCCAGCGTCGTCAGAGGTCACCTGTCGAATGATCGGATCCTCTGCTTGAGTTGCAGAGATGAGAGAGAGAGAGGAGAGAGAGAGGAGAGAGAAAAGGAGGACAGTTGCAGAGGAAGCCATGGTATCCAGAGAGATAGGGAATGTTTGGTAGAGAGAGAAAGACAGGAGGCGGGTATGTCCCGTAACTTGTCTCCGATTATATAGAGGGGACGAGCTATTGGTGGGGAGGGTCCAATCATGATTAACCACGTGGCACCACAGAAACTTGCACATACATCTCTACGGATAATAATACTTTGGGGGAAAGGCCCCCATGCGTTCTGAATTTCTTGGTGTTGACTAATATGCCCCCAAGATTGGTTATAATGACGATTACGTGACGGGTTTGGTGAAAACCTGCCAAAATTCATGAAATGATTTGGTCGGGTTTTTTTTTCTTTTATTTGGAGCATAGACGTAGAAGTTAAAAAAAAAATTTACAACGTCATCATAGTTTTTTTCTAATTAATTGGAGTGAACTACATGGATGTAAATCTTGATCTCCCTTTATACAATCATTTTACTCTATTAAATGTCATGCTCTTAGTGGGGTTGTAAGTCTTTTTATTTTTCGTACTACTTTCAATTTTCTTTTTTTGAGCTGAACTCTTGTCCATTTCGATCTTTTTACTGGAATTAACTTACATCTCCTATCATGTGTTATACTTGATCAACACTACATATAGTCCGCCTAACTAAATCTACTATTTCTCATCTTGTCATTTTCAATTCTTTTATTTAAATTAACTTTCATCTCTTATCAGATGTTATACTTGATAAGCGCCACACATAGTCAATCCAACTAAATCTACTCTCCCATCGTATTGATTATTGGTACAACACCTAAAATAGGTCAACATTGTTCTATTTTATACCTAATTGATCAAAAAACAATTCATAAAATATCATCACTATAACACTTGAAGACCAAATTGATTTTGTCCTTCTGGCCTTCAAGTATCAATCCCAATATGTCGAGTAAGCCTAGCACTTACAAGCCTAGCACTTACAGCGTGTTTGTTTTATGGTTACTTTCTCAATGCCACCCCTTTTAAGATTTACCATAGAAGTGGCGACCTCCTAAAAACGACTTCCATTGATGGTGTTTTTTAAGGCATCCAAAAGCACCAATTTCCACGTTTTTTAAAGCATTCAGAAGCACCAATTTCCACTCATAGAATCTACAGTTTTTATAAGCTTATTTAAAAGAAATGCACCCTTAATGTCTGAAATGTGGTATACGAGTTCAGCACTTCAAGTGCCTGCATGTAACACTTCTTTTTACGTCTACCCATTTGCTCCATTGGACAAAGCCCGACCTAGGAGTCTTTTTAGGACCTAAACTTCAGTTTATTTCAATTTTTTAAATGTGGAAAATCTTCAAGTAGCTTTTGAACTCAAGGAACCAATTTGATAATATTTGCTCCGGCATGAGCACACTATTTAATAACATTTGAATAACTATTAGGCACTTGAAATTCCAAAGCTATATATTACAGTAATTTTTCCAGTCAAAGACATGGCCAGTTGTTCAGCGTCGAACTCATCGCTATACAAATCCTGAACCATCATTCTGCTCTATTAAAGGACATACTCTAAAAAAAAAAATCAAATCAGTTTGACACTTCTTCTAGTATCAAACAAGAGAATTTTGGAAAGAATTTTTTTTCCAAAAAAACAATAGATTTGGGCATACAATATAATAAAATGTGAGCAAGTTTTTCTAATTTTCAAAATAAAAAAAGAGAAGAGATTTTAAAGTTAATTTCTCTTTTTTTTCTAAATTCTAATTAAGAGCATATACACTATGCTCCCTTCGGGTGTATAGTTTACTTCTACTCCCCCAGTTATAATACCTACTCGGGAAGATTTTTCATTATCAAAATTTGGGAACCACTAAAGAATTACTAGATGATTGTTCTCTAAAAATAAATAAATTTTGAGTTTTATAATACTTAGATCTAACCATCTGAAAATTGGACCGTCTATATTCAATCTCAAGACGTAGATTGTTTCAAGTGCATATAAAGTACAATTAGGGGAAAAAAAATTACTGAAGAACTAAATAAACAGGTGAAAAAGGATTCATCACCTCTAGAGGTGACAAGCTCTAGGTTCATCATTGGAGAGCACTGTTCCTTTTTCCAAGGGGCCTATCTTGTACTCTTTCGAATGTGTTATAACAAACAAATCACATTCTCAATGCTTATGCCCGAGATTCATATATTTGTCTAGATTCATATATTTGTCTGCTATATGCAACTTGTTCTCCACACAACGTGATACATGTATCAATCAATCTAAATAATACATAGGCTCCTTGGATAGCTGCTTATTTAGAAAAGGAGAACATTTATATAGAGCTGAGGCCGTAAACAAACAAATTAGAGCCCAACTCAAAAATTTCACTTGAAGAGGTTGTTTTGATGGGCAAATATCCTCAAATCGATCATCTCTACATCAAGATGCATGCACATGAGAAAAAAGTGGATTTCTAGTTTTGAAAATAGTGCATCTTGTAATGCATTTTTTGACTGTCAATTTTTCAAGATTTTCAAGTTTTCATATATTTGCTCGGTATATACTATCTTCGAATCTTTAAATTTTATAATTAAAGATGAGAATATATTTTGTTATCACAAAAAATTTCAGTATTGAAACCACATTTCTTGACACTATTTGAAGGTGCGCTTTACTCTGATTGTTTAGAGCCTCAGTTATATACAAACCACACTGTTTAGAAATATCTCAAGTGCCCTCATTACCTTGAGAAACCACCATTCTATGTGGAAAAAATGAGCCCACTTAGCATATTTTCTAGATAATTTATCGCTAATATATCTTAATTTTAAGATAATCATAAAAAAAAACTCAAACTTCCCAAATCCTCACCCACACCATTTTTTTCAATTTTCAGCATTTTTTTATGAAAATACCCTTTACGGTAGTCTTTCTACCGTAATGCATTGCGACTATTACGGTAATTAAAATACTGTTGTAAATAGAGATAGAATTACGATACTTCTAGCACCGTAATAACATAAATATCTATAATGGTACTTTAATTACCTAATAATATAGAGTATTACGATAATTAAAATACTGTAATACTTTAAAGTAGTATTACGGTAATTTAAATACCGTAATATTATCCAACTCAACACGATTTACCATTTATTTACTCCCTCGACAAAAATTCACGCTATCTGTAAATTTTCAAATATAAAATTTTTAGGATATAATATCTACTTAATTTTTATATGGTTCTCAAAATTTTAGAAAGGAAATACGCTTAAATAGGTGTTTTCGAGAGAGGGAGTAGATCCACATCGTGCTCCCATTGGAACTTAGGTTTTTTGAAAAAGGTAGCCCTGATATTAGCTTTGGTTTAAAGCTTTTAAGCTTTTAATATATAGCCCATGGGAGCACGATGTGGATCTACTCCCTCGCTCAAAAACACCTATTTAAGCATATTTCCGTTCTAAAATTTCGATAACCATAAAAAATTAAGTAGATATTATATCTTAAAATTTTGAAATTTGAAAAATTACAGCTACCGTCGATTTTTATCGAGGGAGTAAAGAAATAGTAGGCTCGAGAGAGTAAAAAATCTTCCGCGTTGAGTTGGGCAATATTACGGTATTTAAATCACTGTAATACTACTTTAAAGTATTACGGTATTTTAATTACCAAAATATTCTATGTTATTACGGTAATTAAAGTACTGTAATAGATTTTTATGTTATTACTCTAGTATCGTAATTCTTTCTCTATGTACAACAGTATTTTAATTACCGTAATGGTCGCAATGTATTATGGTAGAAAGACTACCATAAAATGTGTTTTTGTCCATAAAATAGAAAAAATTGGAAAAAAAGGGGGCGTGCGAGGTTTGGGAAGTTGGGGGTTATTTGAGTTTTACTTCAAATTAAGATATATTAATTTCTAAAAGGTGTGGTTTGTATAGAACCGAGGTTCTAAACAATCAAAGCAACATACACCTTCAAATAGTATAAATAAATGTGGTTTCAATACTGAAAATCTTTGCGATAGCCTACAAATATATTATCATCTTTAATTATAAAATTTAAAACTTCAAAAATAGTGTAGATCGAACAAATCTACAAAAATCTTTAAAATTGACGGTAAAGAAATACGTTACAAAATGCATTATTTTCTAAATTGAAATTCATTTTTTTCTCATATCCATGCATCTTGATGTCGAGATGATCAATTTGAACATATTTGGGCATCAAAGCAATCTATTTTAGGGAAATTTTTAAGGTGAGCTCTAATTTGATTGTTCATATACTCCACTCTATACATATTTTTCCTATTTGTTTAATATCTCGAGACTAATAGAAAAGAACCAATTATGACATAACATGACGCACCAACATGACGCACCACTGTAAATCCCTCTTCCTTGGCCCATTCCCCAAATTTTTATTTTTATTTGGAAAAGAGCCTCACCCTAATTGATTTAACATTTTACAACATTACATCAGCTCAAAGCTCAATTCTTGCCAAGGGTTGGGCCCTCTCTCAAGTGACTCGTACCAAAAAGAGGGTGAGGGATTGAGTTGTGGTGGTAGCATCTCCATACCAAGTTATCATGTTGGGGTTTTTAATTCCATTAATATTTTTAAAAAGCTAAGTACTTATCTATTTGAAAAAATAGGTAGGAGCTTGCCTTCTCTATTGAATTACCAAAAAAAAAAAGTACGGCAAAAATGTTTTTAAAAACATAGCAAAAATGTTTTTAAAAGTTTGTGCTTTTTTTTGCCCTAGTTCTTTGATCCAAAAAAAACCTACTTCGAACTAGAAAAACTCTCATTCTTCAATTCTACAAACCTTAGTTTGCATCAAGAAGCCATAACACAGTGAAAACCAAAGCAACATTATGAAATATGAAGCTCTCAAAAAATTAAAAACCTAAGTTGAAGAAGAGAAAAGTATTTTTTGTGTAGAGGAAGAAATGAAAGATCATTAATTTGGTTCAATGAAATAGAAATTTTCTTCGCATTTTGCCCACTTTTATTGGGATAATTTAGAGACTTATTTGACATAACTATATTATATAAGTGTATACCATACGATCATCCATTTTTAGTACAAAAAACTAAAAAAATTATG